AGATGCATAACTCTGGGCCCTGGGTCCTCTGCTCTCCCAGTAGATACTGATCCCCTTAAAGCCACCCAAACCCTGAAGGAAGGCCAGCCCTCCCTGCAGAGATGAGGCACGAGAGCTTCGTGCCTGGCCTGGAGATGGAGGACATGAGGTCCCTGGGTTCCTCCATGGGCATGGCACTTTGCCAGAAGCTCCTACGGTCAGTGTTGTTGGGCCCAAGGACCAAACCGCCCCCACTGCCTCCATGACCTACCTAGCCTAGACTAAGCCCTCAGAGCACCCCTTTCCAGGACCACAGCCAGGTCGCTGCTGGCCCTCCTTCACCTAACCCCACACCTCTGCTTGTTTTCCGATCTCTGTTCTTCTGAAAAGCACCTCTGCCCTTCCCTGAGTGTTCCCATCCACATCCCAGGCCTGTGGCAGCATCAGCAAGTTGAAAATTCAATTACATTTCAATTACTCTAGTCCTAGCCAGACAGAGGTTACTGTAAGTCACGCCGGAATTGGGAAGAAGCGGGGATAGCATCTGAGGCCAGTGCCTGGGCTGACACTCAAAGATGGATGTAACAGGGACCTGTGGCTCAGAGGCTCAGAATTAGATCAACAAGAGGTTCTGTGACCACTGGTTGACAGACAGTTTGGGCAAAACAAGGGTTTCAGGCCACTCTCCCTGGGTGGAGGTGTCAGGGCTGAGCGCCCAGACTGGAGACGGAGGACATGAGGTCCCTGAATCCCTTCCATGGACAAAGCACTTTGCCAGGAGTGTCTGGAGGCCACTGCTATTGGGCCCAAGGACCCAAATACCGAGCTCCTTGTGTGTCTTCCATAGCACCAGTAGCCCCACTTGGGCTCCAGGGTCTTCTCTGAGCATACACCTCGGGTCTCTTCCTCATGCTCATCTAGGCCAAATAATTGACCTCTCCCACCTTCAGGCTTGTCTGAGGGAGCCAGACTCAGGACCAGAGGGACGTGGGCACCCAGAACCTCCTGCCTGGGCAGGGTCTGATAGGGAGAAAGAAAGATCCGCTGTCTCAGGGTAGAAGGAATTACTTATGATCCCTTGTCCTCAGGAGCAGCCATCTCTGGGTACCAAAAGGTAAGGAGGGGTTTTAGCAATTAAGATCTCTCTTAAGGAGAGATGGGACTGGCTCTGTAAAAGTGGATATTGTGGATGAGAAGGTGGATTCTCAGCCATTCCCCATACAGACACATGTACCTCCATGTATAATGGTGGGGGGACCTGGGGACCCCCCTTACTCATTGTAGCCCAGGGTGTCTGGGGAGCCTGAATTGTGGAGTTCTAAGCCTGGACTGTGCTGCGCTCAGCTGGTGCCTTCTGCCCACACAGACAGATACCAGTTTGTACCTTTCACATCACTGGCTGCACCTTGTTTACTGTAGCTGGTCATTTGAGTGTACTGCAAGATCTGCCTCCCATCCCCTACGTGCTACAGCCCCCTACTCAGCCCCTACATAGCAAACAGTTGCAGCTCTAGATGAGGGTGGGTAACATGGGGGGAGTTAAATGAGTCATCGCTGTGGGGGCAGATATACCAAGTTCCACATACGCACACTCAGAGAGCCATGGACAAAGAGGCCCACACTCACATTCTCACACTCACAGGGAACACACTAGCAAACAGTTGCAGCTCTAGATGAGGGTGGGTAACGTGGGAGGGGGGGATAAATGAGTCATCGCTGTGGGGGCAGACATACCAAGTTCCACATATGCACACTCAAAGAGCCATGGACAAAAAGGCCCACGCTCACATTCTCACACTCACAGGGAACACACCAGGAGCCAGTGCTACTCAAAGCCACAATTGCACATCCAGACACAGAGAGACAGACACCCCCTCCACCTCCCACATTCCTCAGAGACACGAACACCAATACACCAGTACATTCAGTGACAAATCAAGACCCATCCAAAACACATCCCAGCCCCTAGTCATCAACGCAGAGCCTGTCCCCTATCCATATATACACTCAGAGACACAAACACTCACAGTCACACATGGGATTTCCCAGACACACACTCACAACCCTTACTTAAATACACTCAAACACACATGTATGCACAGGCAAGAGTGTGGGGACACACGGACACACACACACACAACACAAACCAGCCATTCCTCTCTTGTGTCCCCTCATTCATTCCCCTACCTCTCC